TACGATGCTCTAAGTATATTATAAGGTAGAATGGATAAACTCTGTTAGTAATAATGTCATTATGGTAGATAGATTGTCTCACTCTGCCGTAAAATCTTGCATCAATTCGTTATTTTCATTCATGACCAATATGGGGTAGCCTTCGGTGTAGCCATTATTTTGCTCGACGCTGGTGTTGGACAAGTCGAAGGCATTTTTAGCAGCAACTGCTTTTTCATTAAGTACTCTATGTTATGATATAGTCTAGCACAAAACAAAGAATTATTACAGACATTGCTTACATAGGGCTGAATTGTTCAATATAAATTAATTAACAACACTGAGTATAAACTCTTGACCTTTAATCCGCCATTTTTCGTCAACAGGCATGCGTGAGTAGAGACTCATCAATACCGCGTCCATGCTTGATTAGAATAGAATTGGTCCCAGTCCCTCTGGCTTATGGCTGCAGCTCTTAAAATTCAACGACTGTTGCTTTAAGGCCTACAGTTGAAACTGACAATTCGTCAGCATGAGCTACTCATGGGCCAAAAGATGTAACAGTTCTCCATGGAAGTTTGCCTGAGTAAGCAGAAGAAAGCGTTTTCAGACCTTGATGAAAAAATTCACTTGCTTTTTGCAGTGGTTAAACGAATGGACAATTGCTTTGCCACGAACAGATTGAGTTGCAGCCAAAATAGTTTTAAAGGCGATAGACTGGTTTGAAAAGTTTCGACTAGCATTCATGGTCTCCAGTATGGAACGTTTATCCATCAGCGACCTTTAAGACATCTTGCATAGTCGGTATGGTCACCAAGGAAATTTCTATTCCAGTTAACATAACAGTCCTGTCTTCGCTAGCGTTTTCCTGCCCACTGTAGAAGGGTTGTCCAATTTTAACCGTGCAGCAACGAAACGAATATCAATGACTGCAATTTATTTTGCAGTGATCGTTTATAATCACACGGCAATGATCTAGAATGGCTAGGTAAATGTCAATATAGGTACGCCATTGATGGAGTACTAATCTGTGACTACGGCTACCATTTTACAGTAATAATTAATTAATACCAGTATAGGTGAAGGTTTAGACAAAATTCTTCTTGACATCACTTTACAGTACATTCGCCATTTCTTCAGTCTACTGCACAAGCATGACGTTGTCTTTCTTGCCCCAAAATAATTTGTCAACTAGAGTAGGCCATATTGATGTATCGAATGATGTTTCTTCTGCGTGTCATCTGATTTAATAAATCGCCATCACTCTTTTATGCTAGTGTGTATCTAGTATGATTGCAGTGTTGAACATTTATTAAGATGAGAATTTCCTTACCGATGAGCATCGATAAGTCTGACGATACAGGTGAAATACAACTCGGACTAGTTCTAGAAATTAAACCAAGCGGCTTTTAGCCATCGTTTTCTTGTATTTGTTGTAGAGGAGGAGAGAGTGCAGTGCAGTTCTGTAAAGGGTAGTCACCTCTATAGACAACATCTTTTTATTAACGGAATGATAGAAATAGACGTCTGTATTCAGTTCATCATTCTGATGTTTGTGTCTACTTTTCCATATCGTAGTACACTATAGCAATGGAAGACCCATCAAGCCAAACAGTTTTTATTCATAGTTTTCATTGTATTTATTGTAGAGAGCAGAGAGTGCAGTACAGTAATGGTTGCAATCTTTGTAGTCAACATGTCGACATCTTTCCATCAACAGATTGATGGAAATGGAACGGTTGTATTCAATTCATCATTTTGATATTTATGTCTACTTTTCCATTTTAGTGCCGCATAGCAATAGAAGAGTATCTAGGCATTAATTCTTGTTGGCGAGTCTGCATGCAGATTTTATGCCCTGGGCGATTTATGGATGGCTTTCTGTTCCCTCCACCATTGAATAAAGGCGGATTTCTTTCTTTTTCTTCAAGTTATGGCTTTGACTACCGCAAGCCTATCGAGCATGACTTGATATTGATAGTGATATATTATGATGACACTGGTGATTTGTATTCTACTCAAAGCTAACTAAATTAGTACAACTAATATCGTTTAGCTTATCTGTACGATAGCATAATAACCTAATTATGCTGGCACTCGTATATATGAATGAACGAAAGAGTTAATGTGGTCCCCAAATGTTTAATATTGAACCTTATCCTCCATGGCATGCCCTAGTTTACTTTCTCTTTAGCTTGTGCCGATATAGACTCATTTATACATCGCCTACAGTGGATATTCATCATGACTGTAAATCATTTATGCTATTCATGTGGAAACGTAGCCTACTATATACTTCTTTAACTTTCCTAACCAGAAATGGATAGAATAGAATGAATAACCTACATCGGCCAACTTGGAATCGATAGTAATAACTTATGTAGTCTTAGATTTACATTCCTATAGGTGTATAAGAATTAAAGGAAAGGGGGATCCTAGTACCCGTCTGTTGAGTAAGGATTGGCTGTATTACCGTCTCTATAAGATCCATGCGATTGCACTAAATCCAATTTTACTTAATCGTAGTTAATGAGATCAATTTCGTTCCATGATTAATTCATTGGTAGAGATCATGAAGGATCTCACTACAGCGAGGCGCAATCCTCTATCACGGTCTACTTTGATATAGTCTCCCAAATAGGCTACAACGCTACAATTTCAACTTCCTCATAGACGCAGCTCAAAGAGCGTTCTATGCAAAAATGAAATTATAATGCTTTTAGCCACAAGATCTACTCCTTAACAATTCAATAAATAGGATGTAAGATTTACAATTTCTTTATAGGTGCAAGTTAAGGAGTATTCGATGCAAAAATAAAGTTATAGTGCTACTGTGTAAATAGCATTTCAGCCGCGAGATCTACTCTCCAACGATTCAATATACGGCATAGATATTTGTAAATGCTATAAGTAGTGGTTATAGCCAAGAGATCCGCTCTTTAGTAGTTCAGTTGTTAGGATACAAGATTTATATTTGCTATACATGCAATTAAAGGAGTACTCTAGGCATGAAAAAGAAGTTTTAATGTTATAAGTAATGTTCATAATTGCAAGATCTACTCCTCAATGATTTAATAGTTAGAATGTAAAATTTACAATTTTGGTATAAGCGTTGTTGAAGGAGTGCTCTATGCAATAATGAAATTATTATGCTATAAGTAACATTTTAGCAGCGAGATCTATTCTTCAATTAATTATAGTATAATTAATTAATTGAAGAATATATGTGAATATTTATTTAACAGCTAAGATATAAGATTTACAACTTTTGCCATAGGTGCAGATTAAAGGAATAATCAATGCAAGAATGAAATTATAAATGCTATAAGTAATATTTACAGCCATGAGATCTTCTCTATCCAGTATATACTAGCCATAATATCGTGCAACTCGATAATTAGGGTATAACCTATAATTAATTTGATCTTGTAGCTAATCTAATGACATGTTTGCGTTAATGAGCTATAATTAACATATGCTGTATCGAGCATGAGAATCAGATCTACTCTTTATACTCGTATGAAGAATGAATGCTAACCATAATATCGTGCAGCATGGCAAAATCATTTAATATAATGTAATTTACTCGTGTAATTAGTTTGATCTTTTAGCTAAACTAACTCCTGACACGTTTGCGTTAATACTGTAGGCTATAGTCGACATACTGTATGATGCTGTATCGAGTATGAGAAGTAGATCTACCCAAAGAAAGGATAGCTACTTGTACGAGTTATAATACTGTACAACAGGACTCAATTATAATAATCCACAACAATTAGTCGAACATCGTTCTCATGAGACATTGCGTACGTGTTTGCTAAGTAAAATACAGTATTTTAGTACACTACTATAAAGTTTTACTTCCGTTTACTTTGATCCTATAGCTAAGTTATGTACGGAAAATGTTTGCCTTAATAGGATATAATCGACACAATACTGTATTGAGCATGAGAATGAAACAGTGCCCGCGCCAATTTCTTTGCATGGCGGCAATGCAAGCAAAAATTAAAGTTCAATTTAGTACTGCAATAGTAATCTTCTGAAATGGCCATATTGTCAATACCTAAGAATGCAGTGAAAATTAAAAGATTGTTTTATTACAGTTAGAACACGAATATGTCGATAATATACAGTATTATGAACGTCCTTCAAAATTTGTAAACAGCAAATGACGAAGTTCAAGAATCTCAGATGTACGTTGTTCAGATATAACCTCCGCTATCTTGTTTCTAGAAAATTAGTCCTATCTGCAATCATTAGTTTAAAGAACAATCGATTTTATACGCGTATAGTGCATGTATTGATATGTCGAATACAAGATTATAGATTGTGGTATACCTGTAATATAAAGTTGGTAATTGTTAACAGCGGATTAGATTTTATTGCCAAAATTTTTCGTAACACAGTAATTACATAATTTCTGCACTAGTTTCCATTTGCTACCGTAGCAAGAAACATCTTTATAAGTTATGCAATTTTTAATGTACCATAAAACATACAATTTTGTTCATAATGTGATTTTATATTCGCTAAGGTCATTCCTGAGCTTCTCCCTATCTTGCGTATAGTACAGCACAAATAATATAATAACCTTTTTGCTATGTTTGCTTGAAACACAAATACGCCAGTACTACTGAAGGTAGGCCTGAAATTTGGATAATTCACGTTCGAGGCTATCAAGTATTTTGACGTCAATTATCTTTCGAAATTAAATAACGATCTAAGGAGCAATTTACAGAGTACAGCACAATATGGAGAGTAAATCGCTTCTTAAACAATATAATATAGTAAGAATCTTGTTGGAGAGACTGCGATAAAAGAAAAATTTTTCAAACACTTTTCAGTTATCACTTGAATGTTTCTAAAATGCGCTCTATTTGCATAGTATCGGTAACATTCGTATAAACTCGAAGTCAACTGTATAATATTTACATAAATTTCTTTCTACAACTTAAATATCACATTAATAGAAGTTAATCGTATCGTTCTTTTGGTAATCCTCATTTCGGTCATAAAGATCTCTAATCGATACAACTTTTAACCGTAGTAAATCCATTTTCTGTTATTCCATTATTACCAACAGGGGTTTTATGATTCATCAATACTGATTTATGTTGTGTTTTCAATTCTGTACATTCATTATAATGGTTGCTATCTAATTCAGTTGTCCCATTCGATACATTTATGCCATTTGCAATTTTGACATCGTAACAGTGATTTCTGTAACCACTTTGAAGTTTCAATTCTGAATCATTTACAGAAGCTTTTTCTTGCTGTTTAGAGTCAAAAGGTTCTGACTTTGCTCCCAACTGCTCACAATTATCTAGCAAATTTGTATTTACATTAGCTTTAAAAGTATTGGGATCTGGATAATCAGACATCTTCATTTTCTGGATCGTTTGTGATTCCTCAGGGTGTAAATTATTTACTTCATAATCAACCTGTACTTCACTCCTTGGCGATGATGTTCCATTAACAATGACAGAATGATTGGTTTTTTGTGTGCATGATAAATCACTTGAAGTTGATATCTTATTTTGTCTCCCTACATTTAACAGAGACAATAAGTTTACTTAATCCGGCTGTTGAAACAGCGTCACTAGGGATAGAAGTACACGCTATTTTCTTATGGATATTATTGAGATAAATTAATGTTGATTTATTAAAATAGATGAGTATTAATATTCTACCTTCTCTGTTGATGTTAAACGGTAAATTGGTTGAATCTTTGGTTATCGATAAAAGCTAAGTTATAATAAACAATCCGTTAACAAAGTAGCTCCGTAGGAAAAGAACAAGTTTTGTAGTGTTACGAAAAATATTCCATACTTGATTTATTTTAAACGGCTCAAAAGTAGAAATTTCTCCTACGTTGGGGCCAACGATTGCCTTAATTTCATTAAACTAGTAAGAAAAGATAAAATTTATGAGTATAAACCTATAAATAAAACGTATGTAAAAACTGCTATATTATGAGTATTTGATTCGCAGTTAACCTTCTTGATATTGTCCTGATGTAAATTAGTTAACTCGTCTTTTAGTACAGAAACTACTTCTGTATCTTTTGAATACTGTGACGTCACAGCTGTCCTTTCCTTTGGATACCAGCTCCCTATGTCTGCAGGGTTAGATATACCTAACTATAAAATGATTTATCTTTTAAAAAAGTAACTTTTAATTTTCTTTTACATATACCGTAAAATTTACCTCTTTTAAGGCTTTGTCAGCGAGGCGAGCATTTGTATCAAGTAAGCTACGGTTTTCACTTTTTAACCATTTCAAATGCTTAGTTAGCTCAGATTCTTGTTGCTAATCAATAAAGATACAAGGATGTTATAATATAGAGTACTGATGACAGTTTAATACAATTGCCCGTACCAACAACGAATCATGCTCGTGTTTGAGTTGCTGCTGAAATTCCGGTAATGTTACATTTTGTGCAATTGACGTTAAAATTTGATCGTAACCAGCTACAATATAATTGCGAATTAGATAAGAGCAAAAATGTGATTTAAATAGTATTCTTTTCGATACCTAGGGCCTGATGGTGATGCTTGTTAACGTGAGTGATTTTATTTAATAAACTACGAGGCATGGCTCCGTGGTTTCCACTATATTGCACATCCTTAGATAACGTGGCCACGTTATCTGAATGGACGTTTTGTATGCCTGACGAATTGTAGAGCAGCTGTTCATTTTTGGTAACACTTCCTTCCGTGGCATTTTTTTGCCGCTTTTTAGATTTTCCAAGTTTGCTAGAGATCTACCATCAACGTTTAGTATTATATAATTAATAATCGGCAATTGTGGTAATCTGCTTATTTTCTTTCAAAAAGTTTATATTCTATATCAATAAAAGCGACGCTAGGATTACTTTATACCTTTGCTTTTATAGTTTTACGGTTCTTTTGGTTATTTATTAATTCTTCCGCGTCAGCTGTTGAAGTAAGTGCCTAACACATTAAGCAAACGTCAGCATGTTTCATACTCACAGCACAATATCACATTTAAAAGGAAATGATATCATTTTTGTATAACCTCTTTTATCGAATTACTCTTTATTTTTTTCTCCTTCTTTTTAAGCTTGATTCCCTGATGTTTCTTCAGTTTTTTTATTACTTTCTCATTTAGATTGTTGTATTCTGAATCATTATCGGTGGAAGCGACGCCTGCTTTCAATTTGGCATCCATAATGCTGAATTGAGAATGCTGTTTTTTCCTTTTCTTTATTTTGCTAATTTCACTGTTTCGTTCATTTAGAACTGGAATTTTCTGTATATCAAGCAAACTCTTTTGAGACTTTTCTTGTCTATTTTCGCAAGTTCTGCTCGTCTTTATTGAATTAAAAGAAATATTTGCATTTCCAGATTCAAATACTGTAACATCGTCAACACCTTCATCGTCAATAAAGTTTGACAAGGTGGACTTTGCGCCGTTACTTGATAAATTCTCAGTTTGGTTATTCTCCTAAGAGGAAACATAAGGTGGAATTATAGTTAATTCGTACAGTAACATATCTTGGCAGCATCTTGCGATTTGCAAATGATCATTTTATACAAACTTTTACGATCGGTGATCTACTGCAATACGAGTACTTACGGAAGTTTGGTCGCTTCCACGATCAAAATATTTCGCTAACTGCTCGTATCAAATAATAATGTGGTCAGGCAAGCTTCTTACATAGTTAGAGTGTGTATATTATGAAAAAATTTACGTCTATTCTATTACCGCTGTGGAATCAACAGTGTGTAAGTAATACTTCACGGGTTTGCCAGTCCAAGATACTCCACCCCTTAGAGAAGCTAGTTCTTCTATGCGCATCATACTACCAATATCTAGCAAATTACATCAGAATGTAAGGGAAGTGTCAAATCTAATTCCAATCTATTACTTATGTATCCAGAATATATCAGTCATATTCACTGACAGTACCGGATAAATTTCTTGAACTAATTCTAAAATTTAGGGGCATAAATTCTCTCGATGATACTATTTTAGCACCTACGTATAACAATAAGAAGTTGAATATTAATAAAAAGATGGATTAGCCGCATTACTTTGATAATAGCAATGGTGATTTTACCTTCAACTAAATTAGCAAATATTTGTTTTAGCTGGATGGGTATTAAGAAAGTAAGAACATAGTAAGTGTAAGAACAGCATTTGACATCAATTACAAAGATTATTATTCACTGTACTTGATGGTCAACAGCGGGACCGAATGCAAAATTATTCACGAAAATTAATCTAAAGAAATCAATAAAAAAAACACCTTTATTGATTTTATTACTTTACAATGAAATTTTCTCAACCAGTGGTAGCAATTACATAAAATAAATGAAAAATGACGTGCCACTTACGTGCATTTGGGAATGAGCCCTTCATATTCGGGTGCCAAAAAATCTCCTTTCACCAACTGTTTAGAATAAATGTATGGTATTAATAAATATTATTAGAAGGACCCATTAATGAAATTATCTTCTCGTGAAATAAATTAGTACCTGGTATTTACAGAAGCTTTTACCAAACCATTTCATCCATTTTCTAAAACTTTTATCTATTTCCTTGGCGGTGGCAGAATTGAATTTTTTATTTTACTATTATGCTCATAAAAATAATCTTACTATAATACTAACTTTAGCGAATTTGGCTGGGATGTCTGCTTTTTCTATACCCCAACATTCTTTGCAATTTGTAGATGCAGCTGCTTGTAAGACTGCCTGGCCGACACCTTTTAAACAACATGTACGATATTATTCATTCATATCACGTGAAGTAACAGTTAAAATTGATTTCTTGTTATGCCCACTGCCTATGGATTGTAACGTAGTATATAGTACAGTTTAGGCTAATACTCGTATGAATAAAGCTATATTGATGTTAAATCGATTCTGGGCATATTGTGAAAGGCTAGAATCTTAGAATAAATAATTACCGCTTCCTAAATCAATAAATACATCATCTGGAGTAGGATTTAAAATTTTAAGTATTTGGGTCATTAAGCTAAAAGACGTTTCACCATAAACCTATAAAGTTATTGAAATGTTGAGAATTAATTAAATAGTGTATCAATAAATGATGGCCAGATTTAACATTAGTCAAACATGGTTGAACTTTAGACAATATAAATACGCATACAAGAATTGCTTGATAAAATTTTTTAGCTCTAAGAATTATCTTTCTGATCAATCTTAACTTGCCTCAGGAGAGAATGGCTCGTAATTATTGAGCTTTTCAGGATTAGGTACCGCGATACTATAGACTATATGTATAATATGTTCTAGTAATCTACTACTTGGTCTAGCACCTAAACATTTAGGTGGTTGTCTTCCTTTCCACTTTAAAAAATATGTACAATAATTAGGCACTTGCGATAAATACAAATACAATTTCGACAATAAAATTATTAAAATTAGGTTCTTGAGGTAACTTGTTCATAATAATTAGTGAGCCGTAGAAATATATGCACTTGCTTAGTAGGTTATCATAGTGTTATTATTTAATTACCAATTGTCGAATACCATCTATTGCTCGATTATACTTTTCACACATTGTCGACATAGATTCATAGCTAAATAGGAATACGAACGGCAGATAATCAATATCTTAGGTAATACTTTTCAACATCGCTCAGCTTCAGATAGATATTTAAGATAACAATAATTATCAAGGATGACAATCAAATACTACTACAGTAGACTTTGCAATATATGCTATTGTGGCAAATCCATCACTTGTAACTAGCCTCCATTTTACTGTTTTTACGTTTTTTTACGAATACATGAATGAAATAGCAGATACATTGTCACTATTGTATTGTAATCATATAGTTAATATCGATCATAAGTAGGTGTTAACTCATAAAAGATAAATGGGTAATTGGAGTCATAGGTAATGAGTTTCGCCAACAGCATTCATTGCTGCCGTGTCAGAGAGTTAGTTTAGATTTATCGCTTTAAAATTGTCAAGTTTTTTTGTAAAGGCAAGCAACTTTGTAATAAAGCAAGTTGTAAGATTTATGTTCGACAATACCTTTCAGGTTTATAGAATTGCGCGATATTATTGTTCATAGCAGGCCTAAGCTCAACAAAGTCTTCGCATACAAATCTACGGTGAGTAGGCAATTAATAATTAGTAAAGTGATGAGTTAGTTAAGAATAGGGGCTGCAGCGAGATTGTTCAATAAGATGACATTAAAACGTTAACGATTAAAAGCAATTTACTGATATTGAACTGAAATTAATTCTTTTCTATTTATCGAACAATGATGTTTGGAATAATATACACGTATAGTATGTCTTAATGTGTAAAAAATCGAATTTACTCAAGCATTATCACGATGAAGTATTGCAATTTACACTTTTTGAATTTGGAAGGGTACAGTAAGTTGAAAACATAAGCTCGTAGGGTAATAAAAGGTAATTCACTCTAGGACAATATGTTGAATGCTATGTAAAAAGGATCGATAACCTCCTACTTACGATATGGTATCAATGATTTCTTGAGCTTGATTTCTATGTTTCTATGTAGAGAAATAAAAAAGTAGAAATAAAGTCTCACTTTAGAAGAGTTCGCTTCAAAATTTATAGTAGGAATAACAGCTTAAGAATATATCATTCTTAAGAAGTCTATGATAGTTTTCATACTGTAAGTCTATATCAAACTCGTACAGCCATTTTATTCAGCACATCGAATTTATAATTAATGTACTGTATAATTATATATATAATATTCACACTGTACTTGTACGTATATACGTACGTCAAAATGCGTGCAGCATAACTCAGGCCGGATAGAGATTTTATCCGCCGTATAAAATTATAATACACAATGTTTATACTGTGGGTATACATCAAGTCCTGGCAACGTCGACTTGGGCTATACAGTACATCAAGTCAGTAAAACAGGAGAATGAGGGAAGAATCGATAGAAATGCCATTTAACATATACTGTAAGGTAACTACGGGAGAGAGGATTTACATTACTTTTTAGAGTGTATAAGCTCAATTTTGTGGACGATTACTAGTCAGTACAGGGTATAGGGTGCTACTAATTCATATCGTATGTTTGAGATATGGTATTATTGCAGTAGAGCAGTTCAACACCACACGAAGATCGATTTATTGCTGACTCTACACTAGTGCCTTAATAACCATTTCAATCATGATAATACCGACGAATATCAGCATAACTTGAATGCTGATTGTGGAACAGTAGAATTAAGATAACATCCATAATGTTATCTGACGTAATTTACATCATAACTTTCATGTTTGTACATGCACAGGGTACGCGTTTACTCAGTGCACTGGTAGTGAGTGATACACGATTTTAGCAAAATAAATAGAGTATGGGTAATATAAACACATAGCAAAACTGGAACAGCGGCTGCAACATGCCTTACGATTATTCATTCATTCAATCTTTGGTAGGATGAAAAAAGAGAAAGTTAAGTCCAATTGTCTGTATTATTTATTTATTATCGACAGTAAGGCTACGTCAGGATAGGGCATTATCTTATCGCGATATCTAATTTACTATATTACCGCTTGGACTTTTAGCGGTCTAATCTAACACATGAGTTAAGAATGTATTTTGAAGGCTTTGTCATCGATAATGTACTCTAAAAAAAAAAGTCGAAAACTGTGATCTAGAGGCACTGAAATTACCAGGGTTTACTTTCGATTTGATGGTCTTTTATTGCTTTCTATTAGTGTACAGTAGGATGTTCCTCTTTACAGTACTGTACTATCATACTATCTTTATGGAATACTTTCTATGTCGAGAACTACGGCCATGGGCCATGTCAGTTTTAGGTCATCGTGTAGCACCGGAAGCGAATAGAAATCCCACTAAAAATGAATGAAAAAGCCTTTTTTTCAAAGTTAAAATACTCTTATACTTTAGGATCTATTCTGGCTTATATGACGATTTTTACTACCGTCATTAACAAAGGGTTGAAAAAGATCGATGGGTTGATGAAGGGGAAATATCCGTTCAATGTTTGGCACTATTGTCTAATGAATGACTGGCTTGAATTTTTAGTGAGCAATGCCCGTTGCTTTTTACTCGTTCTTCGATATAGTCCAATCGATTATTAGATTGATTGGCTTGTCATTCGATTATTTCACGATAATAAAAGCGCCTATGTACAATGTTTTACATAGGAAACGAGGATGATTTGCAATTGAAAATTACGTCGGTATTGATACTAAAATGCAATGTAGTCATTCTAACTAACATTGTATGAATGAAGAAGGATGAATACGTAGACCAAGAGTCCGATTTTATGTATTTTTTTTTTACCAACGAACGATAATAGAATCTCTATTAGTTCTTCTCATTCCTGTTGAGAGTTGGAGAGGGGAATAGAATGAATCGTACGATATTGCAAGATTATTGTCATGTTCCATTCAATTCATCAACGATGATATACAATGATATAGTATCCATGGTATAGCGATTTTGTAGTCAAGGCAGCATGGAAGAGGATGATAATAATAGTAGCTGGTATTGTTATTACTGTACGGTAAGGCACCATCACTCCAGTCAGTCAGAAGTGCAGTTTGATACAGAAAGACTGGTATGGTTCTACTTTTGCAATACGTGAAATTACCCTACGGTAAGTTAAGCGATGACTGTGGGCCATTTTGATACGTTCACAGTATGTCTATCCATCGATCACTATGGATAATTGGAATAACGAAGTGAAAACGATGGTAAATTGATCTGGTATGTTATATACAGTAGTGATTGGAATGGAAAAGAATGGACATGAACTACAAATATCTACTGTAATTCTTGGACGAGCGATGATGCTGTTGGTAGCCTAGATGAATGAGCCAAGTGGATGAGATTCTTTTGAGTACAATCATTTGTAAGCTATATAAGTGTCCAATAAGCGTGTAAAGTAAGAGGAGTGATCGAATAGAAAGTGTTCATGGAATTTAGCAATAAACAATCGTCTAGGAGAGATTGAAAAGGAGTTTTGTATTGCAGTCATGCCCTGCCAATGTGTACAATGTACGACATCATGCAAGGCTTACTGTGTCAATCGACTGTAGTAAAATAAATTAGTCGATGATGACTATTGCTATCTACAAGCAATCTGATATAGACAATGTTGATTGATAATACAAATGGGTAAGCAAAATTAGCTTGCAGAATGGTGTTGAAATGATTCCACGGCAGCGATGTTGTCGTACTCACCGTCATGACTAATGGCCAATCCATGATGATTGGTTGTGTACCAGCAGGGCTGTGAAGTTTCAAGTGTGACCCCATGATCCAATCGCTTGCAGACTACCTGATAGTCAATCTGCTGTAACAAGCTGAATGATTTGATGAAAGAAAGCAAAGGCCACTGGTGAAGTGCAAGGAAGGGTCAAGCTTGCACGAATGAATGTCGCCAGGCTTGACGACTGCTAGAGTCACTCACTCTACCGTGGTTGACGCTCTCTCGGGCTGTCTTCAGTCTGTATAGAGGACGTCAGCTGTCCAGTCATGCCAAGTATGCGAGTAGAAGACTACAACTGTACATGTGCGATCGGAGAGAGCGATTGCCGTCATGGCGTATGGAGTATCGTTCTAAGTGGTTTTAGTATGAAAATTGGAGTCCAGTACCGGTTGCACTCTGGCTGGTAGTCCATAGCAGGAGTCCAGTCGACGAAACCGAGTACAGTACAGCATCTGTCTGAGGCTACTGCTTGACTAATGACTATACGCTACAGTGTACAGTACCGTTACAAAATGTCGAAGTTGGTGTTGGCATGAATGACTTGTACTGTACTGTGCAATGTTCGTACAGTACTTTTACTGTAACTGCAATCCACTATACAGTACTGTACTCAGTGTACTGTAGTGGACTGGACAAGGAGTATCTGTCTGAAGCTCAAGTCTGAAGCTTCTATCTGAAGCTGAGTCTGAAGCTGAAGTCTGAAGCTGAAGTCTGAAGTTTCTGTCTGAAGCTCAAGTCTGAAGCTCAAGCTTGACTATACAAATGGTCTAGTTGGTGTTACACTGTGGACCTGTGAGTCTGAAGCTTCTGTCTGAAGCTGAGGCTGAAGCTCAAGTCTGAAGCTTCTGTCTGAAGCTGAGTCTGAAGCTCAAGTCTGAAGCTCAAGTCTGAAGCTCAAGTCTGAAGCTCAAGTTTGAAGCTCAAGTTTGAAGCTCAAGTTTGAAGCTCAAGTTTGACTACACAAATGGTACAAATGGTCTGGTTGGTGTTACACTGTGGACCTGTAAGGCGACATTATTTTTGCGAGCGATTGTAGACTAAATTAACGTACTGTATGCATTAGGCCATCCAAGTGTCAAATGTTCCCATCAAGCTTCAACAGTAATACGATACAGTAGATCGTTACACTGGATACTGTGCTATAGTATGCGGTAGAGCACCGTCAAGATCGACGGCTAGCAAAAATAATGTCATGGGCCCACATTGACTGTACTGTACACAGTGTACAGTGTACAGTACTTGAATCGACTGTACTGCAATCTGGGCCCATCCAGGCCCACTACTGCAACTACACTCCCATGCCATACAATACTGTAGGGTGTTGGAGCCAAGGCAAAGCCAGGTCTCGATCGGATCCGGTGGTAAGTTTAGCACTATTGGTAATCAAAGCATTGATGCCGGAAAACCATCACAGTAGGCTCTACTTTCTCCATTTTTTCCTCTCTCTCTTGCTTCAAGTAAATAGCCACCGCTGCGTTATTTTACAAAGTTATTGCTCTATTAGTAGTCCAGGAATCGTTCATGTATTACGCAGTCGGTTGGCCGAAAAAATTTAGCGCTAGCAAGACTAGCAGCATCAAGAATATTGGTCCAATATTGGCAGTGCGTTCCAGTCGAGAACGTCGTGTTATTGCCACAGTTTCAGCTACAACGGTCTGCTTATGGAATCATCGAGTAAGTTTTTGCCATTTTACTTTTCTCTCTTTGAAAGAAGGAAAAAAGCATGTATTTCCATCTATTTCTAGTTCCATACATTATAGTTCACTCTAGTAGTCTATCTTCTACTTTGATACAAATGTTATTGATGAGTAAAAAGCTATAGAACAAATGCACGTTGGATAGCAGTCGGTTGAAGGATGATATTTTCCCATATGGTTGTTATGACTATTCAAGATGAATGCCTACTCACATGGACAATAACAACCATTTCAATTTTAAATTTGAAGCTAGGTGCTAAAAAAAACAGACTTATCATTGACTAAGATATCTTATTGCTAGTCTATCAGTCATTTTAAGGGATAGAGTAGAAAGAATAGAGCTTGCAATGGTAAATTACGATAAAAATGTCATAGCAAGACGACTGCCTACTCACATGGATAATTCATAACAACTATTTCAATGTCAAATTTGAAGTTAGCGACTGAAGAAACAGAATCACCATAAAATAAAATATCTTATTGCTAGTCTACCAGTCATGGTAAGAGATTGAGTAGAGTAAGTACAGCTTGCAATGGCAAATTAGGATAAAAGTGATAACATCACTGTACCGTAAGAAGTTATTAACGTTCATAACCATTGCCTTAGGAGTAGTTCTGCTCCTTTCATTAAGCAATCCCTGTAACATAAACCCAAGTGTACAGTATAGAGAATTCATTGAATCCTGTCCATGCAATGATGATCATCATCATTGCTATCTCAATCATCATGACAAGCATTCTACTGGATTCTACACTATCTACTGATAACCCTAACATTCGACGACAACAATAGAGTACAAGCTACCTAATCCAATTTCAAACTACCTACTCGAGAACGCAAACACACTGTCATGGTGATATATCCTATCACTTACGATGATCATAACAAGAATGGCTTATAGTCAAAGATGACTTTCATTTCTCATCCCCATGCTCATTCTTCCATGGTTGATCATCCTAAGGCTTTTTTATCCGTTGTACCCCGTTAAGCTGCCAATCAATAATAAAACCATCAAGGGATTTGCTCTCCCTTCCAGTTATCTCTCGAATCATCCGAACATCAAGACCCAATTACTGTACTCACTGCTAGGAAATAGTGTGTGCAGTTCAGCTGGTTTACATCTTACGCAATTTCACATCCATCCAATTGGGACAGATCATTGACTAATCATTTATTCCATTAAGTGATCTGTCCAGTCGCCCTTTAACATCAAGACCCAAATAGTTACTGCTAGGAAATAGTGTATGCAGTTCAGCTGGTTTACATCTTACGCAATTTCACATCCATCCAATTGGGACAGATCATTGACTAATCATTTATTCCATTAGGCTCATTGATAATTATATACGCATGCAACTAGGTTAATGGATGCCAGCAGTAATTCATTCTAGTTAGCTTATTGTTGTGTCTGTTTGGATCAATTTTACTTGTACATTAGCAAACGTATTGATCTACTCATTATTCTCTTTTCTTGTTAATTTTCACTACTCGCGAATGGCAGGAGTAGCTCTTTAACATTAAAACAGCAACACTTTATCACTAGCTTGTTCAACATGATTACTTTACAGGATACATTCAATTCAATTTAATTCGCCATTTTTATCTAAGAAAGACTTTTTCACTAAATTAAAATTCGCTGCCTTAATATGATTTAACCATGGTTGAGCTTGATCAACTGGGTATACAAATTCTTGCTACGTTGTATATGCATTAGCGCGTGATTGAATTAGGCCATAGCCAACATACATTATATCTGAATATACACATATTGAATTAATTAAATTCACTCCTGCCATTGTGGACAAAGCTCGTGCTAATTGATAAGAATAAAGCATTGCAAAAGTGTGATCACTGCCCAATACTGACTACAAGACAGTATTATTCACCAATAAATGGTATTCTTGGCCCTACCTATGCGCTTGTTTCCAATAACTTCTTCTACTAGTTTTTTTAAAAATTAATTACAATTAAGTTACAGCCTATCAAATGACTCATGCCAAGTAATCTTAAAATAACTTGTAGCTGTTTAAAAGAGACATCTGATGTCTACGAAAAGATAATGTAGCAGCAAATCCAATGTATAGTAGCAGGGTCACTTTACAAAATTCTCTATTTGATATTTGATCCTATTTATGTAAACTTTAATTTCAGCCCAGAGCTTTAATAGCCGTATATGTTTGGCCGGAACGTGCTTTAAAACAAATGGGATATTTTGTTGATCTCCATTGGAAATCTGACGCTTCGGCTCTCGCAATTAGGGTAAGTTAGCAAGGCAGATATCACTCAATTATAAGGATCTTCTTTAGTGTACAGTACATCTTATTTTTGTAGTACCATTGCTAGCATCTATTGATTAATTCAGTCGAATCAAACTTTTTAATTGATATCATTACGGTATTAATAGATAAGGTATGCTGGTAGATTGCAACTTAATAGAAATGTAATAATACTATTACCTATCATTTAGCCATCATCGTGCTCTAACATAAAAAATTATTTTTGCAGTTAAGATTATAGCAAACTACGATCTACGTTGTGCACATATTGTAGCTGTAGTATTACACTTGCAAATGCAATTCCGACGTTGAAAAGCAGGCATAATTACAGCATAACCAAGTTGCTTCTTTATCAGATGGTCAATCAACAAGTAATATTACCGTACTTATTTTTATAATGCCTGTGATACCACGATGTAAACATGACGAGTATGAACTATACAATTAAAATGCTACACGATGTAAGCATAATGATGGTAATAATGATAATTTTGTGATAATTACGCCACCTTGGTCCTGTGAATAGTACGTATAATTTCAACTACTGTACAGTATATAACGTCGTTGCAGATAGCTAAGCAATGGAAATGTACTCTAAGTAATACTCTTACAGATAATGTTTATTATGCGTGAATCATCCCTTATTTAGTTGTCACAAATAATTGCACTGTCAAATAGGTGTAACTCTTATTTAATACGATGCTAAAAAATAATTATACTTATTTTGATTCTCTTGTAGACTAATAAAGGCTTTATAGTCATATTAAACGTTTGTAAAGATTCTTTAAATCAGAAAGATCACGAACTTTATCGCATCAAATCGAAAAGGTATTCAGTTCTACAGTATTTGCGTCCTATTTGCCTTTGCTTTACAAGTGTATTAGATACAACAATGCAGTATTGATTAATATACTTGAAATGGTGGATATTACTTTTAGAGTTATACGTTCAGAAGTAGTTAGCGAAGACCTTGGCGTTGTTCCTTCATGGACGCTTAATTTCAAGTGTGGTGTACCAATCAAAGATGGAACAACAGAGTTTGTACTTAGGCGACTTTAACAGTTCGAATTATATATAGTTTATATCGTAGTCTTGTCATCAGTTATAGTACTTTTATTATTTTATAGGTAAAATGTAGTATATGCATTGTAACCGTTGTATATTTTTCCTTCGTTATTTAACTGTATAACCAATTGGATAGCATCATATGTCGTCAAGAGGAAATAATTGTAACAACGAGAGGTGGCAATATTTTTCATTATAAGTGGGATGGATTGCTATATGCTCAATTAACTGTTCAAATTAATAACATACCATTTTCGGCAGATCAATCAAATGCAAAAGGTCTTTTTTAAAACGATAAAATATAAATTCATTCTTTAGCATAATTCTATTCTTCAATGTACGCGTACAGCATAACCTCTTTTAAGATTGATCTTTGTCTTTCTAGCGTCATTCTTAAGCCCGGATGATTCATACATTATTGCCATTGAATATAGCCGATCACTTCATGGGTATGCAATTATTCTTGAAGACGGTAGGGGCGCTTTCGTATTATGCAGTGCTCCCACTGTATCTCCAAATGTAAGCTAAGTAGCTATACGTACCTTTTGCTATTTGTGTACAAAGACAAACTATCGTAGTTTGGCTAAATTCGGAATTGAATTTAAAGATTCGCTTTATGGCATATTATTCATTTTCTAACTTGTAGAGTTTATATGCTGTCTGGGCGAAGAATACTTCAACCGCTACATGTATTGCAATCAACAATAAATATCGTTTTATAGTTTTTGGCCTTTCCAAGTGTGTATTGCAGCTTAATCAAAATATTAACATACTGTCATGATAGAAGTTCAGTCCAAAACTTTACTGAATACGTAAAAATTCTCTTAAAATGCATACTCTTATAGCGGACAAGCCGCAGCCTATAACCTAGATGAGGTCACCGGCGCTTTGAACTTATCGCATAAACTAAAATTTGTACATAAAGACCCTATAGGTAATCTATAGCTAACGAAAACTACGTCTTATAAACTGAACTTTGTGAATTTATTTCATATAAAATTGGTTAAGCTAAAAGCGCTATTTACTTATATAGATGTCTCGAGTGTTGCTGGAGCTGTTAGATGCATCAGATGGTCACCTGATGGCTGTGTATTAGCAATGTCTTGGGAAAAATGTGGACTTGCCATTTGGACAGTATTCGGTTCTTTAATATTATGCACTTTAAGAATGGACTATAGGTAACATAATTACTGTCATTATTAAAGTAGCAAGTAGTGATCACTTCATTTTCAGTAACGGATCATTCTTTATCAGACCTTTAATTGATGGTTTGGGCAATCAAACTTTACAAATAAGAGATTTGGTAAGTCTTAATACAATTTACAACTTATTCATCGACTACACTTTTTACTTATGATATAATGCATATTGGTGCTCTAGGACTGGGACGTTGAAGGTTATCACCTATGGTTTGTTGTGGATAAAAGTGAAACATTTGATTCTTCTCCAGGTATGACGTAATTTTTTCTTCGATTTTTAGCTTTTATTTAAACTGATAAATGTTTCGGTGCATTCCAGAATGTATCTACCAAATGCAATTTGTTAAAAGTGCAAGTAGCGTCAATCCCAACGCGGTAATTGTAAATAATTGCATATGTACGAGTGACGTAGAGTCACAATTAAACTAATATTTTTACTACAATACTTTTTCATTACTTTATCATGTAATATCATCTATCCGATATTGCTTCATAGGGAAACATTTGTCACGTGCTACTACAAGCGGAAGATAGATTATATTTACATATTCTAGATAGCAACTCTACCTCTGGCTATCTAAGATCTGTTAATGATATAAATTCATATAATTCATCACTTGATGAGAGATCATTTAATAAAGGGAATCAACCAAATCAATCCCAAGCAGATATAAATATCTTATTGGGAAGTAAACAGTGGTGTGTAATTCAGGTAAATTTCCCTGTATATTTTGAGTTTGTCATTCATGTAATAGCATACTAACATGCATTTATGAGCTGAATCAATCGATACAATATAATGACCCAGTTATTTAATCGCTTCAGGTTCCTTCTAGTTATATGGTTGGAGAAAATTGGCCGATACGGGTAAGAGTATCATTTGTGTTCGTGTTATAAAGTTGAACTATCTGAAATTGTAGAAGACGTATGAAAAAGCTTTGTATCGTTATAAAACCTAGTTATGCCATAGAACTGAAAAAAGTTTTTTATATTTCAGTATTCTGCGATTGATAAAACAGGACGTTATTTAGCTGTAGCTGCTGTTATGGGTATCGCTCATTATTCTATAGCAACTCAAAAATGGAAATTATTTGGTAATATTGCCCAGGTATGGTAACTTTCTTGAGTAGAAGTTGAGTTATGTAATAGCCTCTAAGAAACTGAAATTATGACATAGTAAAGCTAAGTTATCTCTTGTATTAGGAGCAAAATTTTTCTGTTACCGGTGGCTTGGCATGGTGGAAAGATATGCTAATGGTTGCCTGTTATAATATCCAACAAGCCCAGGAAGAGGTATATTTTAAAGAATATTTTACAATTGCTAATATTTTCATAACCCATTTTTAATATTTTGTTTTAATTTACATACGCAGTTAAGAATCTATCCACGAGGTCTCAACTTGGATAATGCATTTATGACTTCGGAGAAACTTTCTAGCTCAGCTATCCTTCTAAATGTATATCGTGATTTCATCATGGTATATGGTAGCAACTGCAAACTTCGTTTATACAAGATTGAAAAAAAAGAAAAGAAGCAACGTATGTCTTTGCCTTAACATGTTTATTGTATTACAATGTACCCTGGAACTTTGCAGATGGAAATTTATGTGTACTGAATTAGAAAATTTCAGCGTACTATTAAAATGAAATCTTCATAAAATTTTGACTAATTGATGGATATTTTTAGATCATCCTGTAGCCGTGCTACATCGGCTTCAAGATATTTCCTTAGAGAGTTATGTGCCACATGGGAACGCACTGATTTCAGTCACTCTAACGTGCATTAATGCTGAATCTGGTAATGGTACAACTGTTATTATCTATGCATTGTCGTATCACTAGTAACACTAGCTATTGATAGTAAAGTTTATTATTACGATAAAGAGCCTTATACCTTAGTTTATACTTTCTCGTAGACGAAAAAGAACCAGAATCACTACTCCTAAATATTGCTGGTCGCCTAATTTTATTACCACGCGACAGATCAAAGAAAGCTACACAGGTAAATGAACTGTAAATCTACAATAAAATGGCATTGCTATTTGTTTAAGAATATCAAAGTGTCTTCACAATCTTTATGATGATTCGAAGATGCGATTACTAGTGCATTCACTTTGGTGACGATATTCGATTGTAAAATTATACAGGCTGCATTTAGCTGCCCAATTGCATTATCATCAACCGTGGAAATGGTGTGGTCTACTCCTAGGACTAGGACTACCCATAAGTATCTAACCGATGCCCTATGGCTTGGATGTGGTGCTGACGGGATGAAAGTAAGTATAGTATAATGGTCATTATGTATTACAGTATATATTGCTTAATTACCGTTAGTATAAACTCGCTACTTTTACAATTACAATCAGTGATACATCATTTGCATTAATTGCATCGATATCTAGTTCAGATATTTATGATTCTTTCAAACAATTATTGCTATCTGTATGCAATAATATTTGATAGGTATGGCTTCCATTATATCCAAGCAGTGAAGGTAAACAACCGAACTTTGTTGCTAAGCGCATTATGCTACCCTTTAAACTCGATGTGTATCCCCAAGGTAATACTACTTATAACATATATTTAATACGCTTGAATACATCCTTACCTAATATAGTGACATAAAGTTTAAAGCTATAATTCTACCTTAGCTGTACTTTTTGAGGAAGCTGTGATCTTGGGCGCCTCTAATGAAACTATAGATCTAAAATCTCCTGGCAAATCCGATGTTACTTTTCCATTTTACTCGATTGATCGCACGGTGGGTTATTCTAGGGCTTCGCAGACTCATAATTTTTCTTTGATTAATTTTAATATTCTTTTCTATTAGACTCAAATATATTTGCATCATATATTGAGACAACTCCTTCGAAGAAAGTAAGTTCATTAATTTACTATAGTATTTTTAGATTCTATGTATTTATAAACAGTATGAATATTGAATAAATCTGTATTGTAGTAACCAACATGTAAAAATCTTAATGTATGATACGCTATGTTAACCTTGCAATTTCTAAGCTGTAAATATTTTACTTTTAATATACTGTGAACTACTGGACAACAACAGTATTAATTATTTTGACTTAAAATCTCATATTTCTTAGTTTGGATGTGCATGCTTATGAGGTCGCTCGCTGTTGCATGTCATTACCTTATTTTTCTCACATACTTGAACTGATGTTGCACGAGGTATTAGAAGAAGAAGCTACGGCATCTGAGCCTATGCCTGGTTTGTCTTGCAATAATATTCGCTTATAATCAGATAATAAGTACAATAAGAAGTTGCTATTTGAATCAAGTTCGCAATAGTAATGGCATGTAAGATTTTAATGGATATCGTGTATCCTCTTGTTCTGTAGATGCACTTCTCCCGCGTATTGTAGCTTTCATACAAGAATTTCCATCGTACTATCATATTGTTGTCCACTGTGCTAGAAAAACGGAGTTTGATTTATGGGATTATTTATTTGCTGCTGTTGGAAATCCTAAAAATATGTTTGAGGTTAGTCTAATTTCTTACATTGTCTTATCGAAATTAAACTAATAGGATAAGCACCGATATAGATCGCTTTTGTTAGATATAATAAATACCGTTAATAATATTTTTGTTTCTAGGAATGCTTAGCAAGTGGTGATTTAGAAACTGCAACGTCCTGCTTGATTATATTGCAAAACTTAGAGCCTTCTGATGTCAGTCGCCTTGTAAGTAGTTCCGTACATTAATGAATAAAAGTTTAATCGCTTGCTGCTTTTAGCGATCAAAATACAAAATGATTTTTACTTTATCATATATGTATTAGCACGCAACGTTGTTGCTGGATACGGCGTTAGCAAAACACAAATGGGAGGTACGAGTTATACTATCTCATCATATTGTTTTATAATTTTAATGATCATTTCTCGCAAATCATCGTACTGATTTGGAAATATTACGAAATTACAATCTTAACTTATAGTCTCTAATTCGTGCTGTTATGTCTTTCAATTAAATTTGTAGCTCGCTCAAGACGTCGTTCGCTTCCTACGAGCTGCAGGTTTGTTAAATATTATTTATCAATATATTTTAGCGTAGCTCTGAGCGTCTTCCGATTTATTAATGTTTATAGGGCCTTGTTCCGATACTCCACCGCGCACTTCGATAAGTAGTAGTGGTCCATTAACACCTCCAGTGACGCCAACACGAAGTGGCGAAACTACAAGTTGGCCCTCATCGAAGAAGAATAGTTTAGTAATATCAGGTAGCACTATACGAGATAGATTAAGCCAAAGTACCGCCGAGAAAGGTTATACCGTAGAAGAGACAGAGGTAATCTAGAGTCAACGCATAATCTTTGTATAATAATTTTGAAATGTCAACTCGCAAGAAATTGCAACTCAGTTAAACACGGTACATTTACGCCATCTAATTTCTGCTATCATGTAATGTATGTTCCAATTAAATTGTTATGCCTTCAGTTTTATGTAGATAGTGTTCTTAAAAATCATGCCACCAATCTACTGAAATCGTGCCAATTGCGAGAATTGGGACTATTCTCTGCTTATCTTGACTTTCCTTTATACGAATGGTTGATAAAAGAACGGTAACATAATTAATTTTGCACGTTCATTAGTTTTAATATCAAAGTATAAAGTGTATTTGCTTGATTACTTTATAATCGTAACCGATGTAGGGTGCACATAACTGCAATTGAAGATTTTCCCTCTTGCTTGTTAAAAATTCATAAACAATTTGATTGGCCGTTTCCAGGTAGATACGTAATTCATTCATGATGAGTTACTTGTACGGCATTCTTATGAGTGTACGTTATTTGAATTAGATTTTAACAAATGCTACGTTTCGTTGTAAGGAAACAATTCTGAATCATCTTCAGATACTGCAAAGACTGAGGAAGCTAAAAAGATATTACTGGAAGATTTGACACGTAAGAAAAAATTTACGCTTTACATCAATTCTTTTCAATTTTTCATATTGTACTCGTCTGATAACAACATTATTATTTGCTTAATTGGCAATAAAGTAATCTAATTAATATTGTTAACGTATTGTATAGATAACGCTTTGAACCTTCGTCAGCTTTCTCTGGAAGACTCTTCCACTAACTATCAACGGGCCACATCTGAATTTACACCGGATAGTAACATCGACAGTTCACAATACCAAGCTAGCATCCTAACACGAATGGAAAACAATGCCGCAAGTCATTTATTAGCACCAGAATATTTAAAAGGTATGTAATAATTGTTGACCTGATAAGATATTTATAGTTGATTAAGGATGACTTTTTCTGCAATCTAGCACCTTCTAGCAATGACAGCTTGGTTACTTCCGTTGATACTTCATGTGCTGCATCTGTGTTGGAAGACGTAGAGGATACTACGATATCGTTTGCGGACGTAGATGATATGTATGAAGAAGTGATAATGAACTGTCATCCACAGAGAGCAATGGAATTGAGGTTTCTTAAGCTATATTTGCATATTTATTATCAATAAGCAAATCTTTAATCCATAATAATAGAAAGTTATACTATCAAACGTTTTAGATACATGCTGGACCTTATGTTAGCAACAGATAGTCTAGAATGGGCATTGCTTCTCGCAATATTACTTTTTGATGGTCATGCGATTCATAAAATTATTCAGCGTGCACAATTACAACCTTCCATATTGACTGCTAATACAACAGATAGAATAAAATGTGGCCTACGCGATCTGGAAGTATGGGCAAATCATGAATGGTAGTGTATTGTTCCTTTATTATTCATTACATGCACGTTTTAATCTAATATTTATACTGAATACTAGAATTAATGTGCTATAAATCTTTTTTTAATAGTTATGGTTACAGGAAGTTTGTTATTTATTGTCAGTTAATGGCATTGGGGAACATCAATTCTGATACCCCTATTGCATCGCCAAACGTTACTCCACAAGGTAACTTGTCCCACGAAGAAAGCGTTGAAAAAATATCTACTGATACCTTATCATCGGTAGAAAAACCTCATGAAAATATTGTTTCGCCTGACCCGCAAAACGTGCAGAAAGGTGAAACGATACCATCAACAATTCATCCAATAGAGAGCTCATCACCAACTGAGAAAGGATCCGACTGTATAATCTCATAGTATTGATGAAAAAACTTTCATGATTACATAAGCTAGCAAAGCTGCTGTCAAGCCAAGATGCAATGCGTAATTGTTCGAACTTAATTTAATTGTAAAAGTTAGTTATTCATTTCTATGTACACGCAAGTATCAAAAATTTTTATTGCTATACGGCTTAAGCAGAATTAGAAAGAATGTAATATACGGAATGGCTTATCTATTTCTTAGATGCTGTAAAAGACGTAACTTTGCTATCTTGATTAATTTTTGTCAACTTTTGATAAATCGAATTCTTGTTATATCAAGCCAGTAATATTTAACACTTCAGAGACCGATATCTATTATAATTGTCTGCAGTATCCTACATTGAAGATAATAGAAATAGAAAATTTATAAAATTGTATAGATATCAAAATTTTATATTAATGCGCTCAATAGCCTACTTTGCTTTCCTTCAGATACACGACAATCTTTGTAAAATATATTAAATTTATCTGCAGATCGTATGAATCCCCTGTAGTATTACTGTCGCTATCAATGCATCTACAATGCTGAAATTATACCATCCCCAACAAGCTAATGCTTCATTTTGTAATATATTATTATATTATATAAGCCTGCTATATGTTTTCAATAGCAAGTGACCTGTAAAAGAATTTTATTTTATTTATCATTCGGTATATGATTTTATATAACTATCCAACGTTTCGTAAGTTATGAACCTGAAATGATATTTGTCGGCTGTACTCTCTTTGCCTATCAAAGGCATGAAAATACGGATATTTTACTATTGCAGCAATAAACTGTAGAACTGTATTTTTCCCGTTTCAACCATACTCAAGTGGTTGATGCGAGTGCATTTTCCGTTTACCTGATTATTTTATTCGTTTGAACGGTACAATCATATCTAATCAATGATTCCACGCATGTATAATAGATACAATGGCATAAATAATATTAAATTGCAATTCCCGAGAACGAAAAATAGCCGGTGTAAACTTGTAATCATAACGATGAAATTAACTAATGCCTAGCAGGAAAGTTTAGGAATTATATTATAACTATTATCAGTGACACGAAGAAATCCAGTCTCAATACTGTGAATCTTATTTGTTGTCGTAAAGCAATAACACTTAATATTTTTATGTCACATACTACCGGTACCGAAATGTATTGCAATAGCACATACTGTATTGATTGCAGCTCTGTAAATATATATATTATCGCCTGGTAAATTAAGTTGCCAATCACAACAGTATGGTATAGTGGTCCACCAATGCAGTAGTGTAGTATATATACCACGTTAGTTAACAACTAATTTGCGTTCGTAATGCTATAAGTTATTTTTATTTTAAACGGATCAGTCGATACAGTTTCTGCAAGGTTCAGTAAGCTAACGAAGTAAGATTGATGATATAAGTTATTAAGCCCAGAGTAGCATATTTTTTCGCTGTGGCTTCAGAATGAGCTATGCTATACTATATCGTACAAACAGTAACCCACACAAGATGACTTATACCAAACTTGACTTTTCGATTGTACACTTAGTTTACTTATGTTTACAATTGTTAAAGCATCCCACTTATATAGAATTTTACACTAGAACAATTAAATTCAGACTTATTCGCATACGTGTATACCGTATCAGATGGTTATATAGAATAAAAGTTGTTAAAATAGTCTCAAAAATGCAGGAATTAACAACGTATCATCTTTGTCATCATTACGACGTCACGCTCACCCTGTTACTGTTCCTATTTGATATTAACGATTAACTTACCGTACTCTTCTTTAATAATAGAATTAATTATGGAAAACAACGATATAGTAGAGGCTGATTTTCATTTATATCATAGACGCCATTGCATAAGAACATTAGAAGTGATATGAAATAAAACATTTCTGAAACCATGCAATACAAGGTTGATACGCGATAATATTACATAGTAGCAAAATTTAACCACAAGGTACCTAACGTGCCATCATCAACGGCTATCAAATTTTGTAATTACAAAACACATCAATCATCATTTTGTTGAAGCAAGAAGTTAGCAGCTAGATTTTCGTTCTTATCACAGGCAAAATAAGCCTGTACAACTAGTCCCTCATCGAATCCTAATGCTTTCAACTATAACGAATTAAATAAAAGAGTAAAAATGAACAAATTTAATTCACAATCTTTTATATACAATTCTAAATCTTACAACAATTAGCATAATGGAATTAGTACCCTATCGATGGCTTCCTTTTCTTCTTGTGTTACAGATATACCAAGCGATCCAAGACCGGGCCCACCAGGTGATTGTCGTGACGGCTGCTGCTGCTGCTGCTGTTGCTGATAGGGAGCAATTCTCGGTTGGCCTTCAGTGATAGGCTCGTTCATTAATTCCATAAATTCTGATTGATGATTTCTAATCAACTAAAGTTATGAACAAGTAATATATAATTTATCGTAGTCTCTTTCAAATATACTCAGGTATAATATAGGCCGTAATCAAATTTCGTTTTTAAAATTAGGTTATAATTGTATACCTCTAGTAACTGCGGATTATTTTGTCCTAACTGTTGCAGCATTGGCGCTAATGCTTCAGGATTAGATTGAACAATCTGTCTCATTTGGCTAAAGACTGCCTGCGATCTTAGAAATCCTAAAGGACCTCCTGAAAAACAAAAGCATGCATTTTAGTGTCCAACCAGAGAAATAGTCAACACTAGTATTGTAAAAACTGTACTAATGGGTAAAGACCTTGAGGGGATGAAGGTAATGGATTCTGTTGTCGTTGTTGTTGATCCTCTTCTTCCTGCGGTTGCGGTTGTGTTTGTGGTTCCGCTTGCGATTCCGACTGAGTTGCAGTTGGAGTTTCAGCAGTTTGAGTTTCTAAAACATTAGCAGGAATTCCCTAGATATATCAGAAAGTTTATAAATAGTTAGAAATCTTTTGCTGCAAATTGGATAACTGAAATCAATGATCTTACAGTTGTCAGATATTCGACAGCTCGATGAGGGTTATTGAAGCTAGCTCTCAAGGCAAGTAAGACCTAAAATATCATCGGCGTAATGAATTATTAACATCGATTGTTGGTAGTAACAAATAGCTTAGAATCACAATAAAATCGTCAGCTAATTATTCCATTTAGTTATTGGACTTCACTGTAAATAGATAATGTAACCTCAAAGCTAGCCAAAAAATTTGTTATAGAAGCTAAAGAAGTTAAATCTAATCGATATATTGTACACTACCTGATCCCTTGGGAATCCCATTGATACAATTTCAGAAACGATTTGCTCGATAGAAGAGCCACTGACTAAAATGTAAGTATTACAAAAACATGACTCATATCGTAATAATAGCCAAATTAAGCAGACAGTCTTAGTATATATTATCCTTGTTATATAGTATAGCGTCCTTCTTACTTAAAGAGGAGCCGGCATCGCTGTCTGAGCTACCAGACTGTTGCGGCTGAGATTGAGGAGTACTGAGAAAGGTAATTCGTAGATGATTGTTAATAAACATTAAAAAGAACGGTTTTCTTATTCATGAACTTTTAATGTATTATAGAATAAGTACTATATAGATTCATAAACCAGATTGCTCATCAAAATTTACGCAAATTAATAGAAACCATATACCTGGTCTCAGTTTTAGCTTCTGATTTTTCTTGGGCTTTGCTATCACCCCCAGTTGTAGATGTACTAGAAGCCACATCCGTAGTAGTTGTAGTAGAGGCAGCCTTAAATCAAAAATGTTTTAATTGCATTATAACATAATAAAAGAAATTTCGTTTTTATTTAATATACCATACCATAGGTTCATATGAAGATCATTTATAAACACGATTGTAATCACTAACAACAGTTAAATCTAGCAATTGCATAGCTTAGCTAGATCTTTATCATGTATAGTTAGTAAAGTGTATTTTATGGAACATAAATATGATCTTGAAGTATTATTGCAGATAGACACATACAATGCCTATTCATACGACTGCATCCTAGTATGCACTGTATTCCTATTCAGCGTACTGCATTGTTAATTGAACCACTTGCAAAATATAAAGTAAGAATAGTATCTAATGGGGGTATATTCGATTCGTCAGATACTATTACTTCTTATATCTACCTCCGATCTAGCAGCTGCAGAATCTGTCGATGAAGATTGTCGCGAAGGTTGTTTCTGGAAAATTTATGCCAAATAAGAGATATATATATATAGACAGAGAGCATATATTTATATAACAGTCAAATAGATTCTCGAATTCAATAACAGTAACCAATCACCGATCAGTAATCTAACCTTTGCCACCATAACAACAACAAAATTCTTCGGATTAATTTTGACGTCTTCAATTATAGTATCATCGCTTAATAATTTGCCTAATTTTTTTTATATACAATAGATTTGTATTAGCTATATTCAAAACTACTGTGTGATACCAATATTTCACGTTCAACACAATAAAGTTTATGATATTGTTACTACACATATTTCATAGTGTATTAAATACTTTCGTATCATAGTTTACATGTAGTATCATAAAATTTATAATTTTATTCCTAGAAAACCATTGGTGGGAGTATTGCATTAAACTTTTAAAACTTTAACTTACCACCATAAATTAGTTTTAAATCGTCAGCTAGAAATGCATCGCCGCGGTCTTTCTCTATTCTTTCTTTCAACGCGCGAACCTGAAGTATACGAAATAATTGTTTAGAATTTAGTGAATGTAATTATTTTACCACATCAATACGAAGCCCTAAAGAGGTACATGATGATTTTTAATTTAAAAAATACTGCGCATCTTACACTGCAAGTAAAGCATCAAAGAGTATTCTAAGAGTCTTATGCAATAGTGTATACGTACAGTATAAACTAATCGAATGCCATTATTAAGGACTTTATTGCAGTACATTAAACAACTAACGAGAAAGCCACCTTGTAATTAGAAATCAAGATCAGTAGATTTTATGTGAAATAATGTACTTAAACTATAACGTTTCAGTAACTGAGTTTATTTCTACTGATAATTTATTAAAATAACTGGATAATTTTTATAACCATCAGCCATATCGACATACTGCTGTAATGGCAATAGCTCTTATCATGATATATGCAGTATTAACTGCGAAAATAATAATACTCACATACAGTAATACAAGACATGCAAAGACAGCACATAATGGCAGCATCGTATATTTTACATTAATTACAAAACAGCCAGTCATATCAAAAATTAATTTTAAGTGAATGTAAATAAGACATATACAATTGCCCTTCAATTTAACTAAATCGACAGCATTGGAAGGAAATTGTATAACGAAATCCTATAACAATTTACCTTATGGTGTATTGATTAAATATTGATAATTCTAGTAAAAAGTGCTATACTATAATAAGTAATTTTTATAAACCGTTGGTATTGAACAGGATTCGGTCAAACATAAAGTATATTTGTCAATGTTAAGGTTACAGACTCCATTTAGACTGTAAGTCATAAGCTAATATACTGCCGTTATGTGTACGAGTACAATCATACAAAATACTAGTTTGGTTCTTTATTTTTAATCACTTTGGGGTAGTAAAAGTAAAAGTGTCAATCAACACAAGTGAGTTTACTGTCCTACTAGCACATAAATAAGAATTTTGCGATCTGCAGTACGAGCTATGAATATTGACTATATAATTACTGTTAGAGTCTGGATAAACTCATTTTAAGCTTTTATGGACAATGCTGAATATAGCTCTATAACCCTAAACAACATTGAAGAATTGCAACAAGCCTACAGATGAGTCAGAGCGATGTAACAGAAATCATGGACTGTTGAGTGAAAAAAATTCAGGTTTAAGGCAGAGAGTAAATCAGTTGTCTATGTCATAGCAAATTGTTATTACTTGATATATTTTTTAATTTACGTGTATTTATAGTTAATTAATCTAATCAGGGATCCAATGAAGCACACCTTTGGCAGAGGTCTCAATTGAAGCCAAATAACTCACTATTATTGTAATACTATCTACTGTATTGAGTAATTTTGTAATCTGTGAAAGAACGATAAAATTCTAGACTACTGAACTATTGGCAATGGACGCAAGGTAGTTTTTAAATGTGGTGATAATGTATATGAATAAGCAATTTTACTACACTCTCATGACGATAATGAATATGTAGGTACTTGCATAGAATATAGGGTGCGATTTTGATAAGCTATTTGGTGATACTCTCAAACCTATTCAACGCGAAGTATATAGCTAGTCGAGATTGAATATTTAGACAGAACGAGCTTCTAGTCAATACTGTGTTAAATGTACAGTATTTCTAAAGCACCAACATTAGAAAATTACGCATATAAAGATAAAACTCTCCTTAGGCTACAAGATATGATAAGGTCTTGCTTTCATGGTTTCATCGTTCTTTCAGATTGATAATAAAGCGACACTAAGAGTACACTACTCGAGTACGTAAATCTTAAGATCCGTAATCAATCAATAGTACCATTGATGGACAGTAGCTTAATTTAGTTGCAATATTACAGGCATAATCTTGCGTGATAAATTGTTACTGCTGGCTATAATTATTATAATAACGATGATAAGTCGCATTAACAGTGAATTACTGACTTTATATTCTCTACAACGCAATACCAGAGCTTTTCTTTCGATATATAGCATAAATATACATATAACTAGAATAGACAATTTCAGCTTAGATAGTTTTGGACTATAGCACATTTTATGCTACTGGATATCAATCCAAGTACGCTAAAGTCTTCAGGAAATGGCTGCAGAGATATTTATTTTGCCAGCTTGTCCTTACCAGTGTACATAGTCAGTAAGCATACACAATAAACAGAAAGTACGTAGCGGTAGGATGTGTTGAACAACGATTGACTATTTGAAATATATTGCTATAGGAGTTAAATCAATAAGTTGTTTCTGCCAAAGGTAATCCATGACTGCATGATGACTTGAGTAGAAAATACGCGATAAATTCATACTTCAACTGGAGAGTATGCAGATCTATATATAGTAGATCACATCAAAACACTAAATGATCTAATGTACAAGCACCGAAATAGTTATTGACAAGTTAGTCAATGCCCAATTGATCGTTTGTAGTTTTTGCACCGTTGTTGTGCTACTAAAAGATGCGTAATATTGCTGATATTGAGGTAGAAACGAAGTATCAATCAATACACGACTTCGTGGTAATGCACTTGTGACAGCAATTGATTGTAGTGTTTTGCTCAGTCATGTAGCAGCAACTAATTGTTTTTTCAGTTTGTATTTTGAGAAATCCAGGCTTGAATTATGTTTCGTGCTACAAATAGGAGAGAATGCTGTACAAATTGTTCTAACAGCACTAGAAACGATTTACTTTAAAGACAAGATCAGTTCTATCATCAGCTAAAAACTATCCGCGCGCAGTTGTAATGATGCTCTGAATATTTCTACCAATGCAATCCTGTACTATTGCTTAGCTTTCATCAGTTTATAGCATTTTAAATGAACTGGTTGAAATTTCAGTACCTGCAATGAATTCATTCATTTTTATCCTAGTGAATGATCAAAGAAAGCGTGAATTCCACTCGGGTAAAAACGCGAATATCATCAATACTTTTAAATTTAAAATGACTACTTGTATAAGTATCTATGGAGTAAACATTTAGTGAAATCCATTCCACTCCATGGTAATGACAATTCAAAACTCTTTGTAAAAATGCCAATCGGTCATGGCAATAATCGTTACTGTAAGCCTGGCCATGACTACTTTTGGATTGAAATCACTACTATGACCAACACTATCGTTGCAATGGTCTCCCCAGTTGATTCCTTTCAAGTGCATGGAAAGAATGCGCCTCATTTGTAGCGCAAATAGTAGCCATGACAGTAACTACTGTATTTTTGTTGTTCTCGTTATGGTGAAGGCCTTCAACATTTTGAGACTGAGATGACTATTGTTGTATACAGTATACATGATTGCAATATCATCTAGCTCATGTCTCGTAACTGCATAGTCATGAATTGTAGGCAAAAACACAATACTGTAGTATTAGGTAATCTTGATTGACAAAATGGCTTTTAGGGGCCCTTTCTAATCTCTCTTGTCAACTAGCTATGGTAATCCAAGGTGATGGTGATGAGCGTTGAAAATACTTTTTGCCTTTCAATCCTTCCTCTTCACTATGCCTACAGTAGCCTACACCGTTTCGTTGTTATGACATCCAGTTCATCCCTTCTAAGATTGACAAATTGCTTTTGGGCCCTTTCCAATCTCTCTTGTCAACTAGCTAATGGTAATCCAAGGTGATGAGCGTTGAAAATACTTTTTGCCTTTCAATCCTTCCTCTTCACTATGCCTACAGTAGCCTACACCGTTTGGTTGTTATGACATCCAGTTCATCCCTTCTAAGATTGACAAATTGCTTTTGGGGCCCTTTCCAATCTCTCTTGTCAACTAGCTAATGGTAATCCAAGGTGATGAGCGTTAAAAATACTTTTTGCCTTTCAATCCTTCCTCTATGCCTACAGTAGGCTACACCGTGTCGTTGCTATGACATCCAGATCATGTGTTGTAACCCGTATGGAAATCATTCTTACCACCCTGGTCAAAATTGGCTAACGGTTGCCATTTGGCCCTTGCAATCTAGCTACTCTTGTCGTATCGTGTATTATGATTGTCCATCATGGCCATCTCCATTGTTAGACTATTTCTACTCTTGTAGCTCAATCTCTGTCGTCCATTTAAAGGAGTTTAAAAGTACTTCTGCTTGACAATAAACATACTCTAATCAGTATAGCTATATTACCGTTTGAGTAGGCTCGATATCGATCTTAAAGGTTTGTTGCTGTAGTGTCTTGATGGTTATTAGCATGGTTGCAGTTTTTGCTTCTTTGTGGGCCAAACGACTATCCTGACCAGCATACAGTACAATAAAAACGTTGTCAATACAATTGATCTCCTCTAAAATGGTACATTCTTCATTCTACATGATCTTTTACCAGTCTAAAATGTCGATTAATCTATCAAGGAAGCATGGCCACCTACCTAAATGAACAAGAGTAGACGGAACAGGTTGGCTGCAATGGCGTCAGTTGTGTGGTGAATGATTGGATTGCACTTCAAGCGTATGTAGATTGATCTGCTTTGTCACACACACACTGCAAGATAAAGACGACCAGGACGGCTAGGGGAAGTTGGACGGTACGTACAACTGCATTCCATCTCCAGTACAGTACTGTCTCCTGTCCAATGTACTGTACACTGTAGAGTCATTGCTGACAGTACTGTACAGACACTGTACTGTACTGAAGGACAAAAAACAACTTTTCAATCGTTTCTTCAGTCTAGCGATAGAACTTGTTGGTTTTCCTCTCAAAACTACAGTAGTACACACTGCTACTTAGACTGTAACACCTATGCAGAGTCATCATGAGTGTGGTGAAAAAATCCCAAAGTCCACCTGGTTCAGTACTACTGTAAGCACCAGTGAATAGCTTGGGACATACAGTACTGTACTGTCAGTACGGTACAGAACAACGACGACTTACTGTACATACTGTACACAGTATGGTGATAATTTGGACTACTGTACAGTGTACAGTACAGTAGTGGTGGTTCACCCTGATTTACACGTGCGGTGCAGTCCAAAATGAATACACTACAGTACGCGGTACACTTGTTCTACTGTACAGTGTACAGTACTGTACTGTAGTAATGTGGTTCAGCACCGAATCGAACAAACACCAACGACCTGACAACAGGTTGACTGTACAGTACAGTGTACAGTCCATAAAATACAGTACACTAT